AATTCGTCTTTAGCTACTGAAACTTTATCATCGTCATCATCATTGTTACCCCTATGCATATGCACGATTGAAACCCTTGGACTCCAATTTTTTAGAACCATGGTAGTGCCCAAGCCCACTGGAAGACCTGTGCAGGCGCAAGGAGGTGCACCTGCACCTCCGGTCGCCGGAAAACTCCATTAGAGCTGCTGGAGTTGCACCTCTGCTTCAAACCAGTGACACACACCACATGTTCGATGAAATGTGCAAACCACTGGGTGATGCGCTTTGTTGGTGCGCGTTTTATTTATTTATTTATTTATTTTAATGAAGCTGGCCAAAATGACGTTGTTTTGGACTAGGCTTTTTAAAAGGCATTGTTTATATATATAAACCTGGCTAAAACGACGTCGTTTTGGTCCAGGGTTTTTTAATTTTAAAAAAACGAAAACTGCTGCTGTAATTCGTGGGCTTTTCAAGGGGCTTCTATAATTCATTACTTAATTGGGTTTTAATTGCGAGTTCTCATTATTCAATTGGGTTTTGGGAATTCCTTAATTAAGTAGGACTGAGAATTCTCTTTATAAAAGACCAATTTAACATCACCCAATTTCATCAAAGTGTGTGGGCATCACAAGAATCCTGCGTTTTTTTTTTCCTTCTTGAGTACGCCAATCCAAAGTAAGTCGAATGCATTTTTTTTTTCTTGAGCAAATGCCAATTTTGTTTATTCTTTTTTTAATAATTTTTTTTTCTTATTTAGCTCTCTATGTATTAGTAAGATCAATAGCAAACTCGAGGAGGAAGAGACTACATGACACTTCGAGGTATAATTAATTTTTATTCATTTATTTAATTGATAATTTGATATTGATTTATTTATTTAATTGATAAATTATAGTCAATTAGTCATAGTAATAGATATAAAACCCTTATTTTGTTTTAATTGTACAGTTATGGAATGGTACTTTCAGAGAAAGAGTTTAAATCCTCCTTCAAATAATCCAGGTAGTTCAAATCCTCCTTCAAATAATCCGTCTAGTTCCAACCCTCCTTCAAATAATCTGGCTAGTTCAAATCATCCTTCAAATAATCTGCCTACTTAGCTTTTAAAAATTGCACCTCCGTTGAAAAATTTCTAGGTCCGCCGCTGCCCAAGCCACTAGAACCCAGGGGTTGTGCGAGATGATGCCATCCTTGACGATTCTCTTCCTTCTCAACATTGCTCTCGAAGCCATTTCTCACTTTTACTTTCAAATCTCCCTGCAAATTCGCCAATGACCATTGAAACACATAATCAACTGCAACAAATAAAGAAACAATGCTATGATGCCACAACGGGCTCGGGGCGTTTTGTGTTCTTCTTCGAAATGATTTCGAAGAAGAACGTCAAATTGAAACTCTTGAAAGCTTGCTGTTTAGGGGTTTAGCGTTTAGTGGGTTCCAATTCCTTTTACCAAATTTCCCAAAAATTGTGGGGTTTGTAAAGGTGTGTTCTTTTGCAATTGAATTGGGCATACTGAAAATTGAGGGTTAAGTGGGGTGTGTGTAAATTAATACTTAATCTGAGGGTAGTTTGGGAAGATAGTGGGGTTTCTTAGAAAATGTGAAAATTTGAATTAGAAGTTGGGGTGAACTTAGAACATGGGGTGAACAAAGAGACGTGTATGGTTTAAATAGAAAAACTCATAACTAAATGCTTCTTGATTCAATCTTGAATTTGAAAAGAGAGTAAATTATAAATACCTACATTGGGCCCGATTGCAATATTCCTGCATATGCTGATATCAAACTTGGTGGATATGATACTCTCTAAATTTGCTAGGTCGTGGTTTGAAATTGGATCTCACACCATGCTTCAGTGCTTAATTTGTTGTAGAGAGAGGCAGGATCCACCCTCTTCCCTAAATGCAGCAACCCCATGTTTTCAAACTCCCACTTTTTTATGCACTTTCCAAATAACCGGGCCATGATGTATGTTTTTGGTGCACCTTTTAATTGCTGCGTTTCATATGAAGGGCTATACTTTTTGCTGTCTGTATTCAATAATTGGGCATAAAGACCAAATACCCTTAGTTATCTGTTTTATTATAGTTAATTTATTTTAATTATTGTATTCATAAATTCCCCTCATTAATGTGTAATTATTGTATTCACATGCTTTTTTTCATTTACAATGGTATACATATGCTTTAACTAATTAGAATTGGGTTTGCAAAATTGCAAGAATATTTAAATTGATTTTTGTATTGTGACCTGTGCGAGCAAATAATTGGTTTCCTTAGTCTCCTAACAAGTTCAACTATAGAAAGAGACAGTTAGCAAATGGCAAGTGAAACAAACACATCCATCATTCAATCTACCAGTTTCTTAAGAAAAAAAATTTCAAACCATAAAAGAACATAAACAAATTATCTAGGATGTAACCCCAAACAACAAAATAATTGAGAAAGAAAAACCCTAGCCGCTAAGAGAGGGAGAAAGAAAAAGAGAGAGAAAACTTCATATTCAAGGGTTTTTTTTCCTCGGATCCTGTTGGATCTTCGGTGTCTCTGGCTTTAGGTAGACCTATATCGATCTACTCTTCTTTTGGAAGATCTATTGTTTCAAATCTTAGTTGGCTTCGGTTGTGCCTATTCTTTTTATACTATAATGTTCAACATCAACTTAAATCTTTTTTTTTTTCGTTTACCCCAAATTATTATTTTCTCTTGTCAAAAGAATGGATTTTTTCCATGTCGTAGGGTGTTACTTGTTTTAGAAGAAGGAGAAAGCAAACTAAATTTGTGATGTAAATAGTGTCTTTGAAAATTGATGGCATTTGCAACAATTTAGAGCCACTTAATTATATTATTTTCTCGAGAATTATATCAATGCTAGAATCAGTTTTGTTTTATTAGAAACGATGGACCAAAAGATTAGTCAAACAACATGGGGTAGATCATTTATATATTATATTTTATTCTACAAAAAAATGTATTTATAATACAAAGCTGTAAATCCTAATAGGGTTATACAAGAAAACAAGATAAAATCCTAATTACACAATATATGTACAAAAGGAAAAAAAATAAAACCCTAATTACCCAAGATCTCTCAACAATCTCACTCTAACCCAAGCGTAGCAAATAGCTCTGCTTGCTTTCCATCAACGTACTAAAACTGAATAATGTTGACTACTATCGTATCCAAGACCATCATGGAATCAATAGTACAAGTAGTTAAGTGGTTACAAGAATAGATACTTCAATGTAAATTTACAGAAATATGTGAACAATGGAAACAGGAATGCAAGAACCATGCTTTTTTTTTTTTTTTCCTGGTACATTGGCATGTGATCTAGTTCATCATCTACCCTAATCCTAACCCTAACCCTTTTCCATATTCCCTTACTACTTGGGCTAGCCCCAAACCTTATGAACCAGTTCAACTTTTACTATGTAAACTATTACAATGAACAAGAGTTCAAACAAACTGAGTTTTTTTTTTTTTTTTTTTTTTGTTCTCTATGAGCTCCTACTCATTACATCTAACTAATGTTAAAAAAACATAGACATTCTTGTCTAAAGTTGGCTGGGAGACAACTGAATTAGATTTAGCATAGACTAAAATAGAGAGCCTAGAGTTTTAACTTTTTAATATATGGGTGCCATTCTCTTTCAGTTACATCAGAATTTAATTCGGGAAAATGCAGTCTTTCAAGCAATGAACCGTGACGGCCACATAAAACGTTCCCACTCATCAGGAAACAGACAGCACAATTACTTTAGTAGATTATGAGACATTCATAAATCATTCCTCAGGTTATTCGATGCATTTTGAGTAACAAGTCAATTGAATGGTATGAAATTATTAGTCAAACAACCTGGGGTAGAGCATTTTCATATTTTTTTTTTCCACTGGTTTAAAGTGCCCTTTTCGTCCCTTTCAGCTTCAGGTACTTGCTTAGATATTTTTCTGTTCTTGCCTAAATCCCTGAACCTTTCTCCAACCCACCCAAGCCAAAACTTGCTTAGATATTTTTCTGTTCTTGCCTAAATCCCTGAACCTTTCCCCAACCCACCCAAGCCAAAACTTAAGGCTACGGCTACAAAGCCACTCCCTTTTCTTTATCTTTAGCGGGAAATCAACCCCTTCAATTGGCCGAGTTTGGCTTCTTGATCGATTAATGAATTATGAAAATGTCAAATAATTAAAATTTGTATATACAATATTTGCATTAACTGGGATTTTTTTTTTTTTTGGATTGACTAGTGGATTAAAATTTAAAATCTTTGTGCAACATTGAGAAGAGTTATTTACACCAATACTTCCCGAGATTTTCGGTGTTTACACAAAATCCTCTGAGGTTTCAAAAATTACACAAAAACCCCTTGAGATTTTAGGTTGTTTTCACAAAACCTTTTTTTTATTGATTATTTATCCAAAAATTGATGATTTCACATAAAAAGAACTTATGCAAATGGCAAAATTAACCTCAATAAGTGTATGTGCAAGCTAATCTCAAAGGCTAACTTTGTCATTTGGATAAAATTTTCATATAAAATCATCAATCTTTGGACAAAAAATCAACGGAAAGGGGTTTTGTGAAAACAATTTAAAATCTTAGGGGTGTTTATATAATTTTTGAAACCTTAGGTTTGTGAAAACACTGAAAACCTTAGGGAGTGTTTGTGTGAATAACTCTATTAAGAATATGAAAGTATCACTACTATCAAGAGTTATTTAATTGTTATAATTGTTATTGCATGAAGGTTTTAGGATACGCTCATCATTTTGATCTCTTCCAATGACGGACCCATGAATTTTTATGGGGGTCGGCTTTTTTTTTTTTTTTTTGGTTGTCATATCAATTATAACGGTGGTTATGGTTAACCATCATAACATCATCAAATAAGCCAAGCTTTAGGAAGCAAAAGTAACTTGATACAACCATAAATGAAAAGAACACAGAATAATCTCAGAGAAATTGAAAGTTCAAAAATTTAGTAAGGGCTTTCGTGCCCAAAATGCAGAACAGAGCTTCAGAAAGTAGAAATTGAAAGAAATATATGAGAAATTATAGAAGTATCGAGATGAACTTTGATACCATCATAACAATATGAATTAAGTAGAAGAAAGATTGCAGCATAAAAAGAATTATAGAGAAAAAACCAAAACCTCATGCTTATATTTGTATCTTTAATCTCCAATAAACAATTTAAAGGAAAACAATGAGTTGCAACACACAAAATGGAGCAAGATAGAGGAAATTATCATTTACCTTTATAATAAAAAATTTATTTTATTATAAAGCTCGTGGGGTTTTACTTTTGAAGGTGGTGAGACCATCATGACCACATGTCAACAACATTTAATATATAAAAAAAAGTATTTATCTTTATTATAAAAATGCATCGCACGGTCTTCAAAGTTACATCACATGGATTCCAATCAATCCAACGACTGAGATTTATACAAAGGTGAGCATATTTCTACATAGATGGGTAGGCTAAATATTTGATTGACCTAATTTGGGCTTGGACAACTTAGCCTAGGTTGTATATTCTAAAAATTCAGAACTAGGCTCGAGCGATCCGCCCGTGATTTCACCCCACTTGACCTAAAGTTAATAGGCAATAATTATGTTATTTAATATGAAACAAGTATTTCTTTTGAATTTACTCCAAAAATGATATTGGAGGAAGAAGATTCAAATACAGGACCTTCGGTGCATGGTAAGTATTCCTAACCACTTAAGCTACAAGTCTTTTGGGACTTTAGTAGATTCGACTTCGAGCTCTCTTGTTTGTGTTTTTAGTTATATATATATATTTTTTAAAGACGTTCAATATTTCTTAAAAAATTAATGTGTTACAAAAATTTCACTTCTCAATTCTTCAACTTTGATTTTATTTATTGATGGATTATCTAGGGCATATAATGATACTTTAAAGCTTGATTTAGGGTGATTTTACCAAACGATTGACATTGCTTTTTGTACTAACCGCACTTTAAAAGTATTGTTTACCGAACATTGAGCTGTTTTACTTTACAACTTTTTGTAAAAATAACAGCAATCCCAAACTGGCCCTAAATGCTTCTATAAAAAGTACTTTTATGTGGAAATATGCTCACTTGAAAAAGTTTTCCTCCCAAGCACTATAGAAGCATTTTTAACATTTCCAAAAGTAATCTCAAACACACCACGATTTTTTTTGTTATGCTGTCTGCTACTTTGGACAAAGAAAAAGTTTAAACTATTCAAAATAAAAAGATTAAAATTTTCAGTTCCATTTGTCGATTGCTTCATCACCCCAACTAAAACCCCAAAATCTAACCCACCATCCCATTCACCAAAAGCAGTGTTGGGAATTTATGATGATTTCGGATCTCAGCTGAAGTGTTTGGTTTAGTGTTTGAGTTGGAAATGGCAGCGAGACAAATGGAAGAGATACAGAGGAAGCTGGCGATGCTGAATTACTCCAAAGCCAATGCGCCTGCTCGGTCTTTTCTCTTCGCCGGAATGGAACGCTATGCTCTTCTCGAATGGCTGTTCTTCCGGTACACGACATGCCGTTTACTTCTACTTTGACTTTTCTGATTTTTCCACCGTGCCCCACTTTTGACTGCCCTGTTCTTGGTGTAATTGCAGGTTGTTGGGGGACAAGTCGCCCTTATCTCAACAGAGTCTTCAAGGGGACGCCATGGATCGTGACGCGACTGCTCGCATCCAATGTGAGGCTTCTTTTGTAGAATGTTGAATTCGTTCGTGCTGAAGTTGTTCAGAATGTGATGAAAATTAACCTGAGTGTGTTTAGATCAATCAAATGATACATGGTGGAAAACATGATATTTTCACACTGACACTGCAAGATCTGATTTTTGAATTCCATGAAATGGTGGATCCAAATTATACTTTTCCTGTTCTAATATTATTTTAAATGAAAATGTGGGCTGCAATTTTTTAGCTCAACTAGTCTTGCAAACTCTTGATATTTTCCTGATGATAATTAAGATGACAAACTGTTGTGAAGACTTGCAAAAGTAAAGAATTTCTTCAGTTTATGATGACAAACTGATAACATTAAATTTTGACGAAGAAAACTTGCATATCCATATCCTAATGTAAAAAAGATAGAGGCATGCTACAGCTATTAGTGCACAATCTTAACTCAGTATTACTTCAAAGAAAGCAAGCGCAGTTATGATATTGCTTGTACTTGGAATAACTTAATATATTATGTTGGTACCATAAGCACCCAAATGTTATATCCTTGATGGACTTTTCGAGATACTTTTGTGGAGCATCCTTCCATTCTGCTACCTTTTTGTTTACCTTTTCTTCTTCTAAACCCAGCTGATATATCCGTTGACTGTTTAAATTTCCAAATTTCTAAAGTTCTTAGTATGTCGGTTATATATGATGAACTTGCTATTTTGCACTGTTTTAGTCACTTGATGGGACAATCTGACCATGTTTCTCTTTATTGTTACTATAACAAATGATGACCTTCTGTTTTGCAGATTTGGCAGAGATTGCAAAGTTTTTGGGTATTACTACTATTATAGACGCAGAAGCCATCCAAGTTAGTTGTGGATTTATGTTGATTTAGGAGTATTTATGCTGGCTGATATGGGTGAAAAATGGTTTTTCCTCTAGTTTAGCTGTACAAATTAAGTGCATTTTTACTTATCACATTTGAATTTATTGTTTATTGGTTTTCAATTAACCTTTCGTATCTGTTGGGCAACTAATTTTTTAGGATATGATAGTATCATGAGTTGATCTAGTAAATTTTGGTAACTGGTACTCTTTTCTTAAAGGATGCCAAGCTATTTAAAATTGCTGTATTATCTGAATCCTTTTGGTTATATGATAAAGTTTAATCTTATCCACTTGTTGGAGCTTCCTTTACATCCAAAAATTCTAGATTAGTCCCCCAGATACGATCAGAGTAGTCAAATATGATTCTCCCTTGATGTACCTCCATGGAAATAGTCAATTTGAAACAAAGTTGTACTGGCAGATCATCAAAAACTTTTTATGCAATAGAAGGTAGACTAGACAGAATATAATCAAAGATGACGTAAAGATTTGTTTGCAAGATGCACATTATGCATCTAGTTGGCACTCTAGACAAGATTAACATATTTAGGAATAAAAATGTTTTATTGGACCACATGCATTCTTCTGCACTCGACGTGAAATCTAGCAACTCTTTATTCTGTGAGTTTCCAACACTCTTACTGAATGTGATACCTTTTTGTTGCAGGGACGAGGAAGCTATGAAGATCTCGTCTAATTGTAGATCTTGTGGAGGTGAGCATTTATGCTGATAATCAAGAATGGAGGTTAAGGATGATACTAAGTATTGCATTTGTGTTGGGAATTTTTTATGTTTTAATAAAGGAACTCCTAGCACTTCTATCATTTCAAATTTCATTCTATATTATGCACGTGATTTGTTTTCTTATTTCAAACACCCATGTTGGCCTGAGATCTGGTATGAACTGTGATTTCTGCAGTATCAATGAGCAGGGAGCAAGGGACATACAACTAATTGATTCCATTGCTGAGAGACAAGCTCAAATATTCTCCGAGGAGTGCAAATTTTTCCCTGATGATATATAAATTCAGTCCGTATATCCATTGTAAGAATATCTATTTCCCAGTTCAATTTCCGTTCCTCCCCTGTAGTAAAAGAACAATTGCTTCATTGAAAGTTTATTATTCCACTAAAAAGAGACCTCATAGATGCAGTGTAAGAGTATCTATTTTCGATTTGTGTTTCAACTCTGCTGAAGTAAAAAGAATAATTGCTTCATTGAAAGTTTATTGTCAAACCTTTTATCCTTTTGGAAAAAAAACCACCTCTGATAAAATCGAATCCCAATCAGTTTAGATAAAATGCTTAGACGGGTTGATTGCATAAGTTATGTTTGAACTACTAATTTCATTCGATACAATAACATTCTGTACGTTTAATCAAAGGTCACTTGCAGGCCTGATGTTTCTGAATTGGAAAAAAAACTTTCTGAACAATCAAAGATACTCTTAAGTCTTCAACAGAAGGTTGACGATTTGGCATCAAAGGTTTGTTTCTGTTCCTCAACTTAGATCTTCTTGCATTTGACAATAATTGCTTAGTTTTCTTATGATTTGTATCCTGGAACTGTTCTACTATTTGATCAGCTTCACGTAGTTCTCTTTGTGCTATATAATTATTCCAGCTATTCATATGATTATTCAAAAAGTAGAAAATAATACTTGGATCTCTTCCAACTTTGAAAAGAGAAATATCATTAGCATCTCCTTTAAATCATATTTGTACTTTTATTATTAAGGTTTCCAAGTTCCGTCATTTACAAATTCTATAAAAAATTAAACTCCCTTGTACAAACACACTGTAAAGAAATTTCAACGCCAAAATTAGTAAAATTTCCAAGAGATTTATCTGCATTTCTTATAGACTTGGAAAGTTTCAAATCATACAAAGAAATTGAATTAAAAAAAGTCTTAAGAAACACCCTTCATTGTCTCATTCAATTATCATAATAACATTGTGTTTATTGTGTATTAATAACATTGTGTTTGGTTTAGTGTTAGAGTTAGAAATGGCAGCGAGACAAATGGAAGAGATACAGAGGAAGCTGGTGATGCTGAATTGATCGAGAGCCAAGTCTCTCCTCTTTGCCGGCATGGAACACTATGCTCTTCTCGAATGGCTGTTCTTCCGGTACACGACATGCCGTTTACTTCTTTGACTTTTCTGATTCTCCGTCCATGCCCCATTTTTGACTGCCCTGGTTCTTGGTGTAATTGCAGCTTGTTGGGGGACAAGTCACCCTTTTCCCAACAGAGTCTTCAAGGGGACGCCATGGATCGTGACGAAGAGACCGCTTGCATCCAATGTAGGGCTTCTTTTCTAGAATTTTGAATTGGGTCGTGCTTAAGTTGTTCACAATGTGATGAAAATTAACCCGGGTGTGTTTAGATCATCAAATGTAGGCTATATACATGGTGGAAAACATGAGATTCTCCCCCTGCTGTGTTCTTTTTGTTTTGTTTTTCACACTGCAAGATTTGATTTTTGAATTCCATGAAATGGTGTGGATTTGGGTGGATGTGGTTGGGGTGTGGCTCAGAGATGAGGATCGAGGATAGTTGGGGCGATCGGGGAGGGTACGGAATGCTTAGGGAGACAACCAAGGAAGGCAGGAGGAAGAGACGTATATTAATAACCTCATAACCCCTATAATTCAAATGGTATTTGTACAAAATTCTGAAACATAATGCTTCTGTCTAAAAGATTCACTCAGACCTTGAAAACCGGGGAAAAAAAAAGGTGGGAGCAAAAAAAAATCAAAAATCACACAAGAAGTGCAAAAAAATTTGGACCATTTCTCGATTTATGCGTGTCATCCTTGCGCAGGGGCCATGCTAATCTTCTCTGTATCGTTCCAATTTTATCGGATGTCCTCGAAGGGACAAGCTTTGTTGTTAAACGACCATATATAAAGCTTTGATGCATAGAAGGTTTTTGCAATGTGGGACTCGTGCTATCTTTTCAATAGCGAAGCTGCTTCCCCACCTTTTGTTATCGGATCCCTAGCCCAATCTCCAACACACGGTCACGTTCTTTAATTATTATGCCTTTCTTTGTGGATTGAATTATAACCCCACTTAATTGATTCATGAGTAAAAAGGTTCACAATTTTTCATTCCAAACATCTTAAGATTTCTTGATTAACATTGATCTGAGATTTGGAGAATTTTTTTCAAGGTATTGTACAGATGTAGTCCCATGTAATGTGTCAGTACTTGAGGCATCATATTCGTGATCATAACACGGTTTCGAAGTATAGGATATTATGTAAAACATGGGTTGTAGATGATAAAAAAAATCGTACAGAAAATGTGTAAAAGCTCCACAAGTTAATGATTTTAATGTCAAAACCAGTTGCAATATCAGCTACTGAACTGATCTATAATCTTCTGCAACTAGGGAAACAAACGATAGTTGATTCTTCGCAATGTACGAAAAGTTTCATAGACTTCCTAGATTGCTGCTGCTGCATTTGTTTTCCTCCTCCTTTCCTGTTTAAAAAACTGGCATATTAACATGGTGACATACCATTGCCAAGGCCATACATACTCTCATTAATCAAGGCGATGAATATGGAAGATGAAAACTAGATAGCGGAGAATATGTATGTTGGTTTTATTGAACTAAAAGAAACAAAGTTGAATGGAGCCTATCAACACTTTGAACCAAGCAAAACTGTTATTGAATTGCATTGCATATAAACCCAGATGCTATCTTGCCTTGTGAGCATCTGAAAAAGTTTGAACTTGAACAATTTTATAAGGGCCTAGTAACAGTCATTTTATCAAACAGCTGGTAGGCGAGCTTTTGACATCGAAAAAATAGAACGAAGACTATCAGCCGCTGAACATCAAACACCTTCAAGACAGCAGGAAAATCACGCGCAAAAAAGGCCAAAAAAATTTGGATCAAAATAATGAATTTAGGATCATTTGTGACAAAAACTCTATAAAATCATGAATTTAGGATCAAAATAATTTATATATAAGTCATGGTTCTCCAATATTTGTTCGTTTATTAATTTAACCAATTACATGGATGAAATCTGTAGGAACATATATCAAGATAATTACACTATTACCCTTGAAGAAGATAGTTTATTAAACTTCCATGTTTAGATTAAATATCAATTTGGTCCCTTGTTGGAAACTTGGGTACATTTAATGTACGTTCATACGTGCATTGCATGTACATGTATGATGTATGTACCTTCGTGTATAATCATAATAATGTACCAATTTTTGGGGCGATCGGGGAGGGTACGCGTAGGGAGACAACCAAGGAGGGCAGGAGGGAGAGACGTATATTAATAACCTCATAACCCCTATACTTCAAAAGGTATTTGTACAAAATTCTGAAACATAATGCTTCAGTCTAAAAGTCTCTACATGTATTGTTCACAAAATTATGTCCACGGTAGAAGCCCATTTTAGAAATAAGAAAATGGGTGAGACAAGAATCCCCACGACCTCCCAACCAACAGGAATCTGCAACAATAAGCGGTTCATTCACTGAGATCCTGTTTCACAACACCAATTAAAGTATCAAATCATCCATTATCAATAATTGTCCCAAAAACATTACCAAAAAAAGTCTTAAACAGGCTGTCCATGCCAAAAAGGCCAATCTGACAAAAACCTTGGCACAACAAATCTTCATGGTAAATCTGATTTGTAAAGCTCAAAGCAGTTTATTCTCTTCACTCTTATCACAAAATAGTCTGAGGATTCACCCATATATTTTGATCATTTAAGACACCCAAAAGCCTGAAGATGCAAAGAAAAACTGAAATTTCCCTCTTTTATTTTTTTATATATTAACTATGGTATCCGGCAATTTTATTTATTTCTTATTGGTAAGCACAACAGCCTCATGCATTCTTTCAAGTTTTATGTAATAAAACACTGCTTTAATATGGAATCAAACAAATGAAAACAGTTACTCGTGAATCGACCTCAAGTCATATCAGCTATATACAAAATGGCTAGTTTAGGATCATGTTTACTTAATTTGGAAAACAAGAACCATAGCGAAGATGAGAATAACCAAGTAGTTTGAAGAACTCAGATATCATTTGATTGGTAGTTAACCAGTATGTCTTTCCCATAAGGCCTTAATGGGGAAGTTGTTATAGAGCTTTCCATTAGCTGTTATAGGAAGCATGGGTTACATGAAAATGGATGGAATTCTATTGAGGTTTTTGAGTTCCTGTCCTTGGAAATCTTTCCAAGGTTATGGTACTTTTCTCCTTGGTGTGAGCTTGCAGTGGGTAGTGGAGAAGTGGAGAAAGGATTAGATTTTGGATGAGTGTTGGGTTGGAAAAAATTGCCTTTGTTTTGCTCATTTCCTCAGTTGTGCAGATTGTCCAATTTTCATAATGTTCCCATTGCTAGATTTTAAGTCAATTCTTTTCGTTCTTTGAGTTGATAGATATGTTGGCTTCCAAAGAAACTTAACTGACCCTGAAATTGTGGAGGTCACTTCTGTCTTTGTTAGAGATTCTTCAATAATCTCCTTCTAGGTCCTGGTTGTTTTGGAGGTGGATTTTTTACTCTTCTGGGGTTTGTTTCATGTAAACCAAATATTGTAGTCCTATCTGGCTATCCATCTCTTCCAATTTTCCAACTTTTTTCTGTGACTTAGAAGGCTAAGGCATCTCCTAAAGTAACAATTCTTACTTGAATAGTTGCTCATAGTAAGGCCATGTGTGTCATCTGATCCAAAGCTTAACGGATCATTCCCTTTTCAGATATATGAAGTATGGGATTTCACTAAGTTGATTCTTAGGAAATCTTGCTCCGTAGTGGTGCATAATATGTAAAGGGGGTGAAGGTGTGGGTCAATTATCTATTTATTACTCTATAGTATCACAGTTGTTGAGGTTGTTTAGGGAAGTCAAACTGAGTAGGGAGGGATGAAAGTTCAGGGGGAAGAGTCAAAATTTGGTTCTCACTTTGGGTTTCTGTGTCTTATGAATTTTGGAACATTCAGTTTTCTTCTATTAATGCAGCTGTTTTCTGACAGTCTAATATGTGTATTGGTTTACATTAATTATAAGGTAGAGTATTATCAGCTTTGTTGTTTAGTCTTCACTACAAAGGGTGTACTGTATTGTGTTTTTAATAAATCTATAAAAAATAAAAAGACGAGTTGAGAGTTAATGCTGCTTTATTAAAAAGATACAAACTACTTTGTAACACAATACAATGAAAAATAATTTAGCATTTTCTCCAATATAACTCCCTAGATCCCTTAGTCAGTGAAAGGTAATTGGATGTAAGTAATGGATAAAAGAAAATAAAAAGCATCAACATGCATATGGCAAACAGACGCAGAAGTCAATGAAAGGTAACAGAAAAGAAAGTCTGCTTTGTTGGCAGGATCACAGTAAGCACTCAAGAGTATCTGATGCCAGTTGAAATATAATGATGGTAAAAGTATCACAAATCTTTGCCATTAAAATACATCACTTGGATAAGACTTATCTCTAGTGGATGTATATGCCTATTAATACAAGGGTTTTTACCTTAAAAGGCTGTAGGACTACCATCATCGTAAGCCAAGTCATATCAAGAAGAATTCAGCTTTCCTAGGCTTGCTTTAGCCAAATCAATTTGTTCTGCACAATATAAACAGTGAACAAGGAAAATTGCATCAATTCAGCTATTTAAACCCAGAGACAAATACCATAGATTCAATGCAAAACTTGTTACTTTGTTCAGATGTCATTGCTTTCTGGATTGTTGTAAGGAAAAACAAGTTCCCATTCTTCTGATAGACAGCCTGTGATCAAGAAAGAGCTGTATTTACATCTGTGTAAACTAACAAAGCACTCCAACCAAATAAGCTGATGAGAAGGGTAATTGGGCTTCTACTTGTAAAGAAAAAGATGAAAAAAAATAAAAAGACCCTGGAAGAAAACTAATACTCGGAACATTGAAACGATGAAATGAAAACAATTTGAGCTTGCTGGCTTTCTAGAATTTAGAGTTACAATTTGAAATATAATGACAACACTGTAGGCGAAAAGTATTAGTTTAATGACTATTACTATTATTGTCATATCTACCTAGAATTTTCCACGAACAGAATCATACAACTTTGAAATGTGTAAAACAAAATTTGTGGAACTAACAAACATTTACTCTCAAAGAAAATAAATTCTTAGCATTGATGATAGGCAGGGCAAAGAGGTTAACAAAAGTGTATTCCATATCAAATTTGCAACAATTACATACGCAATGCTAGAGATACAACAAATGTTCATCTTATTACTCCAATGCACAAACAAACAACTAAAAACTGAAATAGATTTCAAATAGATATCAGTTTTTAGTTTTTGTTTTCATTTTTGTTACGCCTCCCTCCCATCCTCCCCTCTCATCTTCTCTCTCAATCTCACACTCACCCATTCTCGCTCTCATTTTCCTCTATAATCTAGCACAAAAAATGAAAACTAAAAACTAAGATAGAAATAGTTATCAAACGGGCCCTAAAAGACTGGATGCTAAGAAAAACATGAATTTCTCAACTGAACCATGTAAACCTAAATCATCTAGGCTTATGGGAAGAACCCAAACAACTAAACCATCTACCGGTGTTTGCCTTAAACAACGACGTAGGAAGGTTGATGAGTCGATTTTATATTATATATTTAACCTCATTCTTACAAATTACCACAACCAACTTCACTTTTTGTTTCAAAACGAAGAACCCAATTCAGAAAATTCTACACGAA